TGCTTTTCTTTCCACAGGTCTGGACCTTTCTTCTCATGTCTGCACTGCTCTACTGGTCAGTTCTTTAAGTCACTGATGCTCACAGGTTTTGAAATGCTGGACTGAGCTGCTCTGCATGCCTTCTCTGCCATGAGAGGTTGAACACTTCCAAAAGTTTCAGCCATAATAAATCTTTGCTGACTTAAGTTTATTTTATGTCAAATGATATGATCAAAGTGATGCAGAAGTAACTAATTAGGGATGAAAGGAGCACTTGCTGACAGAATACTAAATTGATAGCTATTATGAGCCAGGTGGTCAGCGGTCTCAATACATAATTTTACATGTGCAACATCTCAAAGTAAGAAAAACATAAAAGCATTTGATTAAACACTAATGCTGAAAAACTAAGGAAGTATACTAAGAAAATTACTTTATCATATGCTTAGAGTGATGAAATAAATGTACACACTTTGTACCTGCTGTTGCAAGAAGCTGTAATTATTCTATTCACACTTGCTCAAGCTATTGTAACTTAAGTTTCTAGTCATTAGCCCTCACAGATACATTGTATGACATGTGATTTGTCTGCTCAGGGGCCTGGGTTCAATTCCTAGCATCAGCATACTATGAACAACAGTCACTGTCAACTTTCATGGGGTGATATGCAGTGGGTTTTTAATTTTCATTAACATTCATATGCCAAACAGCTCCCCAAAATAAAGGCCCACAAAACTTAGAAGTGACCCTGAACACTAAAATGGCTCTTCACTGAAAATTAGAGTAAAATGTCCAGATATAGTCTGGTGGTTTCAAAGAAAATGGTCTCCAAAGACAGTGGCACTCTTAGGAGGTATGGCCTTGTTGGAGATGTGTTGTTAGAGGAACTGTGTCACTGTGGAGGCAGGTTTTGAGGTCTCATATAAGCTCAAGCCACACCTAGTGAGACAGTCTACTTCCTGCTGCTTGCAATGTAGGACTCTCAGCTACTTCTCCAGCACCATGTCTGTCTGCATGCCACCATGTCCCACTATAATAATAATGGACTGAACCCCTGAATTGTAGCGAGCCACCCCATTTAAATGTTTTTCTTTATAACAGTTACTGTGGTCATGGTGTCTCTTCAGAGCAACAGAAACCCTAAGACACATAGTTCTAAGTCTTACCAAAACAATGTTACCTCTCATAAATTATGCCTCAATGAAAAGAAAAGCTCCAAAATAAAAATACAGTTCTGAAGATGAGATCCTATGACAGGAAACACCTTAGAAAATAATGTGAACACAGACTGAAAACATTGAGATACTTTTCTGTAAGACTATCCTGGGTTATAACCTAGTCTACCATTTTCATATTCATCACGAATTACTCCATTTTATTTTTAAACTATTCCTTTGAAGAGCACTACATCTGGAGGTGAGGGTCTATAAGAATGACAACAGGTCAAATACTAGCTGTCTCTCATCTACTGTCAAGACCTGATTACACATCAGCCTGAAAACACACGGTGCTTTCCAGTGCTGGTGCTGGTTGTCTGTTAGCTAAAGATGGAAAAGTGATCTGACTTTTCCAAGGAAGTGATTTAGCTGTAACCTCAACTGAAGTTAGACACTGGACATTGTTTCTTCCTGAAATATTTGCCTTAGCTTAATAAACTAACAGTGAAAGAAAAAAAGGAAAAGTTGGTAAAGATGGTAAATTAGCTCAACTTAATCTTTCTACAAAGCATGTGTACGCGTTACTTTTCTGTTGCTACGATGGGATACTCTGAAAACAGCAACTTGGAGGAGAAAGGGGGTTAATTGGGCTTAAGGTTCCAGAGAGGTTATAGTCCATCACTGTAGAGAAGGAATGTAGCAGAAGCACCAGGCTAGTCTGGCAGGAAGAAGGGGAATCAGACTTCATTTCCTCACAGAAAGTAGAGGGCGAACAGGAAGTAGGGCCAGGTTATAAAACTCAAAGCCTTCCAACAGACATACTTCCTCCAGCAAGGCTCTACCTTCCATAGATTCTATAACCTTCCCAAATAAATAATGCTTCCAGCTGGGACCAATCATCCAAACAAATGAGGGTACTGAGGATATTTCACAATCAAACTGTAATATATATATATATATATATATATATATATATATAATCAAAATAGCATATGACACATAAATATATAAATGCAACAAAGTGTAGGGTTAATATAATTGTTTTAATGACTCCAATTGTCCTCTTTAACCTTTAGGTAGACATTTCTTTAAAATTATTAAAGATAAATTATATAGTCAGTCTCTATGAGGGTAGCTACATTTGTCTTAAGACAGCCCAGCCATAAGGTGGTTAATATTGGTTGTCAACTCGACAGGATCTAAAATCTCCTAGGAGACAAACTCTAAGCATATATATTAGGGAGTTTCTAGACTGGATAATTGGTATGGGGAAAAAAATGCCCACCCCAACTGCAGATGACACCATTCTGGCCCTGGGCTGAATAGAAATCAAACAGTGAGCTGAGCATGAGCCTTCACCTCTCCCCACTTCCTGACTGTGGCTGCAATGTGACCAGCTGCCCCACACTTGTGCTGCCAAGACTCCTCCACCATGAAGGACTGCTCCCTGACACGGGGAGCCAAGATAAGACTGTTTCCTTCAGTTGCTTCTGTCAGTAGCCCATCACAGCAACTAAGACGTAACTATACAACACCCCAAATCTAGATGGATTTAGAAGCATAAATATTTCCTCCTTCAGGTGGTATGCCAAATCTAGATTTCTAAAAGTGAATGTATCTTTGGAGTCCTGCTGAAGGCTGGTTATAATTCTATGTGGATGCTTTTTTCTTTTTTAAATTTAAATTAGCATTAGAATTAAATTAGGATGTCAGGCTTAAATTTAGACCCACAGCAGTTCTAGAAGAGAAAAAGAACAGAAATAGTATAAGAAACATTACAAGAAACATTTTTTTTTTTTTTTTTTTTTTTTTTTTTTTTTTTGTTTTTCGAGACAGGGTTTCTCTGTGTAGCTTTGAGCCTTTCCTGGGACTCACTTGGTAGCCCAGGCTGGCCTCGAACTCACAGAGATCCACCTGGCTCTGCCTCCCGAGTACTGGGATTAAAGGCGTGTGCCACCACCGCCCGGCAAGAAACTTTTAAACATGAATTTTCATAATGAAAAGCCTTTAAGGACCTAGCACAAGCAATGAAAAAAATGTTCAGGCCAAAGCTCATTATGGTGAAAATTCCAATATTCAGATAATAAAAAGATTATAAAACGTTTTACAGAAGGAAAAAAATATATCACATGCAAAAGGTGTGACAACTATAATACTGAATCAGAGACTCTGGGAAGGATAAGACGCAGGACTTTAGTATCATTTTACTTGTAAAACAACACACACACAGAAAATTGTGTACAGATGAAGCAATAATAATGTAAGCAAATAATTATAGATAATAAAGCTGAGGAGATTATTCAGTGGTAGAGCACTTGTGTAGCATGCATGATGCCCTGGACTTGATCATTAGTAACTTAAAAACAAACAAAACCCATGAAATATGAATAAAGGCAAAATAAGTTCACTGACTGCTTACTACACATCAGGTGTTCCATTCTGTTGCAAATATATTAACTTATATAATTCCCATAGCATCCTTTGAGCCTGTTGGGAACAGGCATTGAGACATACAGACTTAGTCTATAACGGCACAACTAGTAAGTGTCCAAGTCAGATGTCATGCAACTCTGTGACTAAGTTTCTCAAATCTAAAATAAAATCAATTTTTAAAAAGCAAAGAAAACAATATTTGTATGTTCCCTGCCTTGTTAATCTGTTTCCAGATCAACTACAGTTAACTAATGTTCTGACATGGTCAGTCAAGACACAAATGTCAAGCTATTCTCCTAAGCCACAAAATAGAACATGCGTTATGTGGGGGATTGAGTGAGTTTGCCAACACTTTATTTTTTTTTTTGCACTTATGATATAGCACTAAATGAAGGTACAGAGCATAGATTCCCTAAGCTAAATGCACAGCCAACCTTTACCCAAAACATACAAAAAAAAAAAGCTGTGTACTTGTATCTATTCACCACTGTATACTTACTTACACACAGCATAAACAATATAAAAATTTAATAAGGTTAAAAAGGGCACAGCTGCCATTCTCTTAAATTATTTTCACCTAATCTAGTCTTCTATTCTTCTAGTCTTGGAGTGGAAATATTCTCTAGACCAACTTTCTAAGCCATCTGCCTGACAATTAAATACGGAGCTGTGACAAAAACACCACACCCCTTACTCTTGCCTTCCTGTATACCACAAACTACATTACAGTGCAACATCTTCATGTGATGCGTCTGCAGGAGTTGGCTTCATTCATAGTTTACCATCTTTCCTATTCTGTCTTCTGGTTTGTTTTATCTACTACTTCAGGGATTCTGGTTTCAATGACAGAGAGAAATGTACCACTTTTAAATAATTTTTCTCTTTCTTTTCCAGTGTGGCACCATATTCCTTGGGGTTTCCATACACTAGGGCGGCAGATTTTGATCTGAAGACATCTTCAAAACTCATCCTGCACTTGGTTCTCCTATCGTTTTTTCTCTTGCCGGGCCCAGCGGTCTTGTTCTCTTGTTCATGCGGCCCTCCATCGCTTCTTCGTTTTTTATGCCTGTCAAGTCCTTTATTTGTGGCACTTGCGTGCGGTCGGGGGTGGTCTGGTTTGCATTTGGCTGCTCCGAGGTGGCTGCGGCAACCTTTCTGGTCCTGATGCATCAGGGACAGCATCATCCCTCATCTTCCCAGCATCCGTGGGAACAAGGACCCCGGGGCGTGGACGTGTGTCGTCCTTCCTGGAGGTTGCCCACTCGCTGCCACCGAGTTCACAGGGCCTCCCCCTCCACCACCTCCAAGGTCAAATGCCACGGTGACACCCCACCCCACACGCCCTCCCCGCGCAGGTGGGACACCTGGCAGCCCAACCCCTCTCCCTCCGGCCGTCACCTGCTGAGGCGCGCGCACGCGCTTGTCACTTACGGTCTCCTTAGCCGCAGCCACCGGGATGGGCAGCAGCCCCCTGGCCCGGGGCGGGTCCTCAGGTTCCGGGGCCGCTGACTCCGAGGGGTCCGCCCTGGGGGGGTCCCCATACAGCTGGTAGCACACGAGGCCGACCAGCCCCCCGCCCGCCGCCGCCGCGATGCTCAGCTCCCCCCAGCGCCGCCGCCTCCACGCCGCCTCCGCCACCGCCGCCTCGTCGTCGTCCTCCTCCCGGCAGGAGAAAGGCCGGCCCGACAGGCCCGGAGCCGTCCCCGCAGGCCGCCCCCACGGCGACAGGAAGGGCTGCTGGGGGGCGAGAGTCGGCGACAGCCGAGGAGGCGGCCACAGGAGCCTCCGGAGCGCAGCCATAGTGGGGAGCTGCGGCCGGAGCCCGGGGGAGGGGGAGCGGGAGCCGGAGCGGGAGGGGCGGCGCTGAAACCTCGCGAGAAGTCGGTGCGGTGCGGTGCTCAGCCCGTGGTGCGGCCGGGCGACCGCAGCAGCTGCCGCCGCCGCCGCCCGGGGCCTTTCCGGGGCAGCCTTAGGGTGATCCGCGCACGGCGGGGAGAGCTACGGTGCCGCAGTAAGGCCGGGCTGTTCCCCGCCGTGCTACCCCAGCTTTAACCACGCAGTCGTCGGCAGAGAACGGCTTCCCCCGCAGCCGGCCGCACCCGCTCCGGGGGAACAGCGACAGCGGCGGGGAACCGCTCGTCGGCGGAACTCCCGGAGCGGAGGCTGCGGGCCCAGCCGGCGCCCCTCCGAGAGACGCCCCGGCTCGGCTCCCTCCTAACCGCGCCTCCTCGTCCTCTGACACCCCTGGGAATGAACTTCTGGATGCAGCTTCCCGTGCAGAGTGTCAACGAAACACAACCAGAAAGGTGCAGATGTGTGCTTCAAGTCGTCAAGACTGCAGTTCTGAATTTAAAAATGGGGTTTTCGACTACACGATGATGGTTCCTGGACTTTGGGCAACGACAGGCTAATAATGAGTTATAGTTAGCGTTCTTATGTTTCGGGAATGCTAGTATACCTAATACTACTCAGTTCAATAAAACTGTTGAATATCTGAAACAAAGGATTTTCAAAATTCTCAAGAGTTTTGTCCTTTTTTTTTTTTTTGGGTGAGTTTGTTGGTATAACTGTAACTGACAAGTGTACTTTATTTTTGTGCACGTTATACTTTTTTGGGTGTGCACATTGTCAATGTCAGCTTTATAACCGAGTTGTGTTGGCTCTGCTCTTCACGTAGAACGGTGTCAGGAAACCCTGAAATGTTTCAGATCTAGGATAGACAATAAAGTCCAGTGGTAGTTTCAATTAGTCGGTTATGATTTTTGCTAAAAACCAAGGACTCGGGGGCAACCAAAATGTGGTTTTCTGGTCTACATCCTGCTATTTCTGTTCCTCACTCCTTACGTGCAAGTAATCTATCACATATGCTGCGATACGTTTTGCTTTAATATGGGTTCGTAGAATTTTACTTCCGTAAGGCTACTAAAAATGGTAGAAAGAAATGTCTGTGACATATAAGGGCAATATCTATTTTAGGATATTTTGTTTTTCTACTTAAGCCTGTTAATACCACTGGGAAGTCTTGTGGCAGCTCCTTACTTTTTCAGGATTTTTTTTCCCTCCATTTTTGTCGTCTCTGAATTCTGACTTTTTTTAGATTTCCCAAAGCATTTACTTTCCAAAGGCGTTTCTGCATACATATACATAGCGTTGTGTGTAGCATAGTACCTCTAAATTTGTCTTCTTTGAACTGAACGCAATTTCCTGATTTTTTTTTTGTAATTTTCCAACATGAACTATTATTAGAAATCTTGAACAGACTAGATTTTTATTCATGGTGTGTTAAAAGCTAAGAAGCTATGAAGAGAAATGGAAAAGAAATATATACTGTCCTTACAAATGAGGAAAACAATGAATTAGCTAAGATGATGTTATATGTGTATGATATATGCCATGTTTCCTCCAAGTATTTTCTCTGGGGAGAAGCCAAATACTGTTGTAAGAGTTACAGGCCACTCAGGTGTGAGATAAAAATGTCTCATTGTGCACAGAAGTTGTCCAACTTTCCACACTTTTTTTTATTTGAAACCCAAACTTTGTTAAGAATAATCATTGTTTTCTTCCCATGTTATATACTCTGTAACAGTAGCTACAACAAAATAGCCAAATTGCTATGCTCTCTGGATATTGTCCCAAGTTTGCTTCCCAGGGCAAAAGTGAAAAGAAAATATGGTATTAGGAATTTGGGACTTCTTGAAGTTTCAGATACTATGCTTGCATAAATATAGGTTGAGCCCAGTTTTTCTCCTCTTTTGGGTCAATTCTAAAGGGAAGCAGTGATGATCCCTCCACCCCAGCAAAGCCCATACTGCACAGTGAGAACTCAAAATTTCAAAGAAATAGTCACTTGCATTTATTTGCTATGGTTTAAGTGGGAAAAAAAAACTGTTCTGAAAAAAAAAATAATGAAAATGAAAGGATTAAGCCAGAAATGATTCTTAAGGAACGTGTGTATCTTAGACAAGTAGTAATTACAGGTTAGAGATCTGGAGTCTAGTCATTACTATACAGCAACAATTGCAGTGTCTTGGAGGCCACACTTTCATAAAAAAATAGTGGGATTAAATAGATGGCTCACGTTATGAATCCATTACATATCTTATTTCATTTCCTATATATGTATACACATGCATTTTATAGCATTTTTTTCAGTTCTAGGGCACATAGCATCTCTTACATGTTACTCCTCAAATCTGCAATTGCCTTACTTGCTTTGTCTTTTTTCAACTTAAAAATTATATCTGCTATGCTGGGTGGTGTTGTTGCATGCCTTTAATCCTAGTACTTGGGAAGCAGAGGCAGGTGAATCTCTGAGTTCTAGGCCAGCCTGGTCTACAGAGTGAGTTCCAGGACAGCCAGTGCTACACAGAGAAACTCTGTGTCTTAGTTAGGGTTTCTATTGCTATGAAGAGACAACATGACCATGGCAACTTTTATAAAGGAAAACATTTAACTGGGTGACTTACAATTAAGAGGTTCAGTCCATTATTATCATGGTGGGACATGCTGTTAGAGAAGAAGCTGAGAATTCTACATCTTGATCAGCAGGAAGTGAACTAAGACACTGAGTGTGGCTTGAGCATATATGAGAAATCAAAGCCTGCCTCCACAGTGGCACACTTCCTCCATAATCGTCATACCCACTCTAACAAAGCCACACTTCCTCATAGTGCCACTCCCTATGAGTTTATGGGGGCCAATTACATTCCAATTACCACATTCCACTCCCTGGCCCCATAAGCTTGTAACAATATCATATGCAAAATACATCTAGTCCAACTTCAAACATCCCTATAGTCCATTATAGTCTCAATAATGTTTTAAAGTTCAAAGTCTCTTCTGAGATTCATGTAATCTCTTAACTGTAATCCCCTATTAAAATAAACAGATCACTTACTTCTAACATATAATGGCAGAGAATATATACTACCATTCCAAATCACAGGGAAGGGAGCATAGTGATGAAATACTGGACCAAAGCAAGACTGGAAACCAGCTGGGCAAACTCTAAACTCTGCATCTCCATGTCTGATGCCAAACATTCATCAGATTTGCAATTCTGTTCAGCTTTGTTGACTGCAACACACTTCTTTCTCTTGGACTGTTAGCAGCTCTCCTCAGCAGGTATCCCATGACTCTGGCATCTCTAATATCTGGGGTTCTCCAAAGCAATCCAGGCTTCAGCTTCTCAGCTTCACGAAATGGCCTCTCTACTAGACCTCCATTCAGGGACACCCCTGACACATGCCTGGCCTCAGAAGCTTTATGCCATAACTCCTTTCTTCTGCCCTTATTCTAAAGCCAGAACCATGTGGCCAAAGCTGCCAAGTTTTGCTGCTTACTTGGGCTGGAACATGGCCCCCTCATTCTGTTACATCTTCATAGCTTTCTGGTCTTCACTGCTTAAGCCTGGTTGTCCTGAAACTTGCTCTGTGGCCCAGGCTGGCCTCAAACCCAGAGATCTGCCATCCTCTGCCTTCCCAGTGCTGGGATTAAATGTGTGCACCACCACACCAGGCTCTGAGTTTTCCTTTAGTTCCTTTTCACGGGCTAGAAACTTAGCTGGGTGGAATCTTACTCTGAGGTCACTATTCTCTTTATTCCATTTCTTAATCTGTTTATCTCCTTGAACACAGGTTTAGCTCCATTCCACTTCCTGGTGCTTCTTTTCTTCTCAAATTAGACATTTTGAGTTTTTCCTTGCTCATCTTGTGTTTTTTCATTATAAATGTTCATTAGAGTTAACACTAGTAACCACACAGCAGAGTCTATACTACACTGTTTTGAGATTTCCTCTGGCAACAGAAGTAATCCAAAACTGTTCACTTTAGCCCCAGGCAGACCCATTGGACAAAGGCAAAAAGCAGCCACATTTTCTGCCAAAATATCACATGACTGGTCTCTAGGCAACATATTAAAATTCATCTCTGAAACCTCTTGAGCCAGGCTTCATAGTTCATCAAATCACATTCTGCACCACTGTCTTCCATGCTCCTACTAGTGTGGCCCATTAAGCAACACTTAAAGGATTCAACTGCTTTTCTAATCCATAATCCCAAGGTCCATATTCCTTCAAACAATAGCATGGTCAGGCCTATCACAGCAATACCCCAGTCTCTGGTACCAACTTTTAGTCAGGTTTTCTATTGCTGTGAAGAGACACCATGACCATGGCAACTTTCATAAAGGAAAACATTTAATTGTGTGGCTTACAGTTCAGAGGTTCAGCCCATTATCATCATGGTGGGACATGGCAACATGCAGGCAGACATGGCGCTAGAGAAGGAGCTGAGAGTCCCACACCTTGATCCACAGGCAGCAGAAGGAGACTGTCACACTGGGCATGGCTTGAGCATGGCAGACCTCAATACCTATTTCTACAGTGACACACTTCCTCTAACAAGGCCACACCTACTCCAACAAGGTCACACCTCCTAATAGTGCCACTCCCTATGAGCTTATGGGGGCCAATTACATTCATACATCGTGTCCTGGAAAAAAAAAAAAAAGGAGTTGCATCTCCTGACCTAATTATGTTAGCTGTTTGATACTTGACGTCTTGCAAATAAATAACTTTTATGTTTAAAATGTGAAATGTAAGTATGCTTGTCCAAAATAGCTCAACAAAACTCCTATAGAAGCTTACCATTTGTCTTAGTTTGTGCACTTGAGCTCCTGAAGCCTGATTAGCTGGAAGAGAAGCACATGCTCTGTATTTGTGCATGCTCCTCCTCCCCCTCAGGTCTACTCAGCCCTCACTACAGCAGGGCTGTAATAATCTCAGTCTTCCCTTTCAGTAAGCCATACAAATAATCATCCCCCGGTCTTGGAGGCTGTGCTACTT